ATTGTTGGGGGGTGCATGTGCATAGTGATTTAGTAGAGTTTGCTGACAATTATTTCTGTGCTTTGTTTGACAATAAACCTAGCCTGGTGTGAATGTTCCCTGTAAGCTGTGCATTTGTGCAGCTGCTCAGGAGATATTCAAATGCTGCCCAGCTGATTAGCAGACCACTCACAGCTAATTGTTTTGATTCTACTGGTGGTGCATGTTTGCACATGCCTCAGTGCACATAAAATTTTTTCTCACCTGGATGGAAAAAATCTATACATGGATGGAAAAGATTAGAGGAAACATTGCCCTGGTGCCTTTGTCCCTTTTCTGATTTTGTGGTCTTTGGGGGTTCTCTCAGAATCTGCTGTGTTGTCTGTCTTCAGAGAGTCAAGGCAGCACACAGGGAATACACACTGCCAAACAGTTATCATTTGACAGAGCAAGATACCTGTTAGGACATCCACATTGGTAACTTCTGATCACATTTTCCTTGGTATGAGAGAGAGGCTCCCTAAACCCATGGATCTTTGTAGGAAAAGTTAAGGCCCCGTGATTCACTCAGCTCTCCTCAGCAGTATAGCTCGATAGGCAACATGGCCTGCATAGATGCCACACTGTCTTCAAATGTCTACTCCCCCCTACCTTCCTGGAAAGGGATGGGGAGGGTGTGGTGCTGCAGAGAAGATGCACACACCTGTTCATGGGGCACCGTCAACTAGGTCAGTTGTGTTTCCTTGTCTCATGCATTACTCTGGAATGGGTCTCACCTGTGTGCTATTCCTCAGTGTCTGCAAGAAGGTGTTTATCAGTAACAAGAGTAGTAATACTAAAAAGGAAGAATCAGTAAACAGGAAATGGGGTGGCCCAAGTAGGTTTTTTGCAGGGGTTGATTATTAGATTTTAATTCTAGAAGGGGCCATTATGATTACAACACAGGCCATAAATTTAATGGAGTGGTTCCTCCATCTCCTCTCAAGTTCTCTTGCTCAAGATCATGCCCAAAAGACTCTTGTAATCCTAAACGGGGGGAGGGAACAGAAAAACCTTTCTAAAGTGTTTTAAAAGGATTTTTTCTAGAAAGAAAAAAGACCTGTTTGAAGGATGCTCTGTCAGAAACCTGATTTGTTTTAACATCTGGGTTTTTTTTTTAAACTGAAGGTTTCCAATGTGTCTTTACTATCAACTTCATCAGCTTGATTTTTTTCTTCATTAAAAGGCTATGGAGGTGACTTCTCAGAGAGTTTCTGTATCTGGGTCATAGGTGGTGCTCTACATTTCCTTGCCCCGTTAACGCCTACAAACATTTATACTCATCAATGGAAAACCAACTTTCAAAAAGGGAGGTTAAGAAAGGTTTTGGAGCCATGGTTGTCAACAGACACATTTAAGTTAAAGGAGACTTGGCTGGTCACACGATGCTGGACCTTTTTCTTCCTCAAATGCCTCTGTGAGGGATCTGTTCTCCT